GCACTCGCCAGACAGACATAGAGAGATAGAAAGCAAGAAATCACCCCCCAGGGGGGATGGTCACGCCGCAATCCCTTCTCCTCCATTCTCCTCTCGGGATCTTGGGCATGCACGCACACGCACCCAGCATGAGTTTTAAGCCACTGGGTCCGGGACGCAAACCGCGGTCGACTACGTGGGAGTCCAGCGACATAGCCATTACGCTAACTGCTGGTTCCCTCTAATTTTTTTTTTAAGAATTATTTTATTTGACTTTATTTATCTATTTACTTATTTTAATTTGACCAAAGAGGGACAGAGTGAGAGAAAGAGAGAGAGAGAGAGAAGGTGACAAAACAAGCCGCCAAGTTTGTGACCATGGTTGGCCATGTGGGAGTCCAGCAACCTTAACCACCACGCCACCTGCTGGCTTGCCAGGATCTAGTTTGGATTAGCCATGTAGTATCCAACTCTCTTTTTTTTTTGAAGAGGTTTTTGCTATAGGGTACATAAGCTCGCCAGAAAGACAGAGAGAGACAGAGAGAGAGAAAGTGAGAAATCACCCCCCAGTGGGGATGGCCACACTGCAATCCTTTCTCCTCCATTCTCCTCTAGGGATCTTGGGCATGCATGCACATGCGCCTGGCGTGAGTTTAAGCCACTGGGTCTGGGACTGGAACTATGGTTGACTACATGGGCATTCAGTGACATAGCCATTATGCCAACTGCTGATCCCATATCCAGCTCTCTTAACCATTATGCCCTGGGGCTGCCCTCAAGTATTTCAATTCATGCATTGACAGGCTTTGAATATCTTTCTTAAAGCTTATATATGAGTATAGTATATATAAGAGCAAAACTTAAATTTAAATAAGATTACTCTATTTTTCCTACGTATATTTTTCTCAATTAAAAAATCATTTAATGGAGCCAGCGGGTGGTGTGGTGGTTAAGGTGCTCGACTTTCACATGGCTGTCCATGGTTCTAGTCCTGGCCTTGGTGACTTGCTTTTCCACTTTCCTCTCTTTCTCTCTCCCTGTCTGGTGAATGCATGTGTCTTATAAAAAATTTAAAAGATAATAATAATAGTTAATTATTTAAAAAATATATTTAATATATCCCTATAGCCTTTAGTAAGTAGCAGACATCACTCTACATGTTTTATATATGTTAATGTATCCAATTTTCAAAATAATCAAATGAGATAGGAACCATTATTATCTTTGCTTAACAGGTAAAAATACTGATGTATGAGTAGGTTAAGTAGTTTGCCCGTAGTCATATTTCTAGAAAGTGGTCGAACAGTCTGCAAGCAGTCTGGCTTCAGAGATTCAGAAGACTGTTAAGATTTATCCTGTAATTAGCCATTTGCCTCTCTCGAGATACTGTGAACCCAAGGCTGGGGTGGGGGAACTAAATGATTTGTCTCAGTCATGGGCTGTAACTCTCAGAGTATTGCATAAATGCAGAACACCTGAAGATAAGGATAGGCCTACTCGTAAGTTTTTATTCCACTTCCTTTTTTAGAATGTGTGTGTAAAGGTCCATTTTTAGATGTTTAAGGACTAAATTATATTAAGTACTAAATCATTTCCATTTGAGTGACAAGAGTATACTTACAGATTAACATAATGTTTTTTTCTTTTGCAGGCAAAAATTGTTCTTGATATTATTGTCACCATGTTCAGTGAATATTGTGAGAATCAGTTTACGTAAGTTCATTTGGCGCCTTTGTTGCTGGCCTACTGTTCTGCAATAAAGCCTTCTGCTAAATAGAAGGATGAAAAATGTGGTTCTTATAATCCATTCAGGGAGATGGGACATCTTTATAAACTATGTACTTCTTAAAGTACTTACCACTTTCAGAAGGTTCAGTGGTGTTCTTGCTGTTTGTAAGGGAGAGTTACTGCCAGCTGAGGTAATCTGGGAAGGCCTCATGGAAGCAAGGAAATTGAAGCAGTGTTTCGGGATCATTGAATTTGAACGTGTAAAGATGGAGGAAGGGCAAAAGGAACAGCTAAGCAAGGGTTGAGGAGCCTATCTAAGAGCAAAGCATGTATATATTGTGTGCGTGTGTGTATATATATACTATTGTTTTTTTTTTAAATTAATTAATTTATTTATTTATGGTTTGCTTGGCAGAGAGAAAAAGAGAGGAAAAGTGAGCTATCACTACCCTGGGGTGTATGGCTATGCTGTAGTCCTCTACTCTCCTCGGGATTTTGGGCTCAGATGCATACATGACTAGTGCTGACTGGTGTGTTTTTCAAACTGCTGGGTCTGGGACTTGAACTGCATAATCAGCCGTGTGGGATCCAGCTGCCTTAACAACCATACTACTAGCTGGCCCACAAAGCGTATTTTTTAATTAAAAAAAAAATTAACAAATGTATATGACCCTTACAATATACTAGTATCATAGTTCATTCTGGAGAGTATTATAATTCAAAATAAATATATAACTATACAAAGCATAACCAAAGTTATATGGGCAGTATAATTTTTTTTCCTTAGTTTTAGTTGATTTGCATTTTAGTGACTGTATGCATTACCTATTATCGTGTAACAGTATGCCAGCAAATCCTGGAAGGTGTGTATTAGTATTGGCAAAGTGTCCGTATAGGACACATGCTTGCAGTACTAGGAAATAAACTTCTCAAGGGAGTACCAAGGGGCATGGGAGCCATAGGAGATGGATGGTAGAGTAACAGCATCTGTAGGAAGGTTAATCTAAACACTAATGTTAGAATGTGATAGATGAAATGTGTTGAAGCTGTAGTTGTAGACCAGATGAAAGATTTATTAGCCACATACATTGTAGAGTTTCTTACCCTGTTTTTATTATTATTTTATTTCTTGCTTTTTTGTTTTTTAGGGCTGAAGCAGCTGAGGTAGTTTTTCCCAATGGAAAATCATATATCTTTCCAGTAAGTATTTAAGGAAGGTCTTGATGATGATGACAACACTGATGATAATGGCTACTGGGTGCTCATGTCTGTCTGTCTGTCCATCCATCTTCCCGTCCACTTACCCACCTTCATGCCAGGCACTTTACATGGATGTAGTTTTCACAGCCTTCGAGGATGGGTGCTATTATGCCTTTACCTGATGGAGATCCTGAGACCTTGAGATATTAAATAGCTTGCATATCACTATCAAGTGGTAGAGCTAGGATTTAAGTTCAGTTTGAGCCTTACCTGCATACGCACTACATTATACGGACCATAATTTCTGTGCTATGTTCTCTTATTAATTAGGTAACTGGATAATTTTTAGTCTTTCTCTTTTCAAGTTTACTGAGCGTGTAAACTTTGTTAGTCTGTTCACACTAGAATTAGCAGTTGCTTAAGGCTATCACTGTAACTAATAATTCTTTTTTTTTTTTTTTTTTTTGGAGAGGTTTTTTTGCTATAGGGAGGATGTGCTCGTCAGAAAGACAGAGACCAGAAAGTGAGAAATCACCCCCCAGGGGGGATGGCCACGCTGCAATCCTTCTCCTCTGTTCTCCTCTTAGGATCTTGGGCACGTACGCTCACATGCCCGGCGTGAGTTTAAGCCACCGGGTCCAGGACTCGAACCACGGCCGACTACGTGGGAGTCCAGCGACATATCCATTGCACTAACTGCTGGTCCCTGATAATTCTAAGCCTATTAGTAAGACTAATTTAGTAGTAAAGACAGTTATTGTCAAGGCATAAGTTCTTGGTAAAATATTTAAACCATATTATTTGTTTTGTTTTGTTTCGTTTTGTTTTAAGAAAGATTTTTGCTATAGGGAACGTGTGCTCTCTAGAGAGACAGTGAGACACAGAAAGTGAGAAATCGTCTCCCAGGAGGATGGCCACGCCACAATTCCTTTTTCTTCATTTCCTCTCAGGGTTTTAGGCATGCATACACATGTACCCAGCATAAGTTTTAAGCTGCTGGGTTGGGGACTCTCGAACTGCGGTCGACTATGTGGGAGTGCAGCAACAAAACCATTATGCCATCTGCTGGTCCCCCATATTATTCTTAATTGAGGACTTTCCCTCTGCTCTCCAGGATGACTTGACAAATAGAAGGCCAGCAGATGACATAGTGGTTAACGTCACTGATCTCCCGTATAGCAACTCTTTTAAGTCCTCAACCCAGCAGCTTGAAACTCATGCTGGGTACATGTACATGCATGCCCAAAATCCCACGAGGAGAATGGGGGAGAAGGGATTGTGGCATAGCCACAATTGAGATTGATTTCTCAATTTCTGTCTGTCCCTGTCTCCTCTGTCTCTCTCTTTCGAGGGAGCACACATGTGCCTTATGGCAAAAACATTAAAAAAAAAAAAAAAAACGGAAAGAAAAAGAAAAGAAGGTCTTTTTTTTTTTGGGAGAGGTTTTTTTCGCTATAGGGCGCAGGCGCTCGCCAGACAGACAGAGAGAGACATAGAGACAGAAAGCGAGAAATCACCCCCCAGGGAGGATGGTCACGCCGCAATCCCTTCTCCTCCATTCTCCCCTCGGGATCTTGGGCACGCACGCACACGTACCCGGCGTGAGTTTTAAGCCACCGGGTCCGGGACGCGAACCGCGGTTGACTACGTGAGAGTCCCAACGACTCCCATTACGCTAACTGCTGGTTCCCAAGAAGGTCATTTTAAAACATGAAAATATCACAGTCATTGACTTGTATTTCTGATTCAGTGGGACTATTCTTTGATGAACTTTTTTTTCCCTTTGGATTTTTCACTATTTTTCTATTATTTATGAAGTGAAGGAGAGCCTAAAATACTTCCTACTATTTAAATAGCTTTTATAATAGATAGAACCTGTCAAGATCAAAACATCCCCCTTCTTGAAAACATTACTGTTTAACATATGTTTTTCTACTAATTCAAGATAATGTATAATTATAGAAAGCATAGCTGAAGTTAGGGGCATTATCATTTTTTAAAAAAATTGATTTGGATTTTATTGGGTCATCAGAAAAATCATGGCATGTTTTTCTATGTAAAAATGCATCATGACTTTACCGATGACCCGATAGTAGCTGTTAGCAGTTAGCCCTTGTTGTATAACAAATTAGCCAAAGACGTAGTGGCTTACCACAACAACCATTTGTTTGTCTCCTGAATCTCTCTGTCCACTGGGTGGTTCTTCTGGCCTGAGCCAGGTTAGTGTCTCTGCTGGGCTCACTCCTATGTATATTCAGCAGGCTGTTTGGCTAGCAGCTGGCTGATCTGGGAAGGCCTCATTCACATGTCTACCTTTTGGCAATGGGGTCGTTGGCTTTAGTGTCCCTTCTCATCCAGCAATTTGGCTTTGGCTTCTTTGCACAGTAGCGGTAACAGGGTTTCCAGCAGCAAGAGGATAAGCACTAAGATAAGCCCAGTGCCCAAGTGCCTTTCAAGAATGGTGTCCTGTTGGCTAGATTTGAGAGATGGAGAAATAGACTCCATTCCTGATGGGAGGATCTCCAGTGTCATGTTGTAAGGGCATGGATGCAGAGAAGGGAAGAATTTATGGCCTTTTTTATAGTTTACAGTAGAAGCTGGGGTTATAGTTTTTTTGTCTCTTAAAATGTCTGATTTGAGACTTTTTTTTTTTAATATAAAGATTTTTGTTATAGGGTGTGTGCATTCACCAGAGAGACAGAAAGCAAAAAATAACCCCCCCGGGGGATGGCCATGCCACAGTTGCTTCTCCTCCATTCTCCTCTTAGGATTTTGGGCATGCATGTGTACGTACCCGGCATTGAGTTTCAAACATCCGGGTCTGAGTCCCAGACTACAGTCGGCCGTGTGGGAGTCCAGTGATGTAACCATTATGCCATCTGTCGGTCTCCTTTTTTTCTGTTTAATATGAAGAATTGTTGGACTAGCTGGTGGTATGGTTAAGGCAACTGGATCCCATATAGTCAGCTGTGCAGTTCAGTCTTAGACCTTATGTCTTGAAAAACATGACAGGCATGTGTGTGTGTGCATGCCCAAAATCCTGAAAGGAACGAGAAATGGTGGAGAAGGGATTGTGGTATGACCATCCCCCATTGGGAGTGTTTCTCTACTTTCCATTTGTTTCTCTCCAACAAGTGCATACACCCTCTGTCAAATTACAAAAGGAAAAAGAAAAAAAATGTTTAGTGTTGATAAAAATGAATATGTACTTTTGGGGAGAAAAGGAAAAATATAATTTTAAATTTGGTTCACTTACTTTCTAATGTAGATGATTATTTAAAATCATCTGATTTTAGTGAGAAAGCAAGCCACCAGGTCTGGGACTCAGACCACGGTTGGCCATGTGGGATTCCAGTGCCCTTAACCACCATGCCACATGCTGGCCCCAAGAGAGCTTTTATAAATTTGAAATGGTAGGCTTTTTGGGCCCATCCTTGGGAGCATAAGTAGCATCCCAATCTGCAGTACTGGAAGCCACGTGGCCTACTGCAAGTTCACATTCCAAGTTGACCTGAAGCACGCAGGGCATGAATGTACCCAAGATCCTGACTAGCTGGGGGCTGACGGGGGATTACAGCATGACGAGATCGTTTAAGAATGCCTTTCTCTTTCTCTGTCTCATGACCTCTTGTGCTTTCTCCTGAAAGAGGTGAGATAGACTTTTAAAAAGAAAATTTTGAAATGTGATCTTTCTGAAAAGGAGTACCACGTGGGTGTTTTGATGTTTGTCAGTTTATTTCTTCTTAAGCTTAGATAGTTTTCTTCTCAGATTGTTCTCTCAGAAGGGAAGCATCCTCTGGGGGAAACTGATTCTTCCTCACATGAAATAGCATATTACCCAAACACTTCGAAGTTCTTTTCTAGCCTTTAATTTATAGAAAAGAATATATTTTGGAGCAAGTGAATTGGAGTTAAATAGTAGGTAGTCAGACTAACAGTTTATAGTGTAAGCTTTGGAATTAGGCTGTCTCAATTTTTTTATTAATTCATTAATTTGTTCATTGTTGCTTCATACATACATGCATTTAGTCATTACATATATACGCAGTGCTTATTATAAGCATTTTTCTAAGCAGTGAGAATATAGTTATTTATCCACAACTCAGATTCCTTATCTGCAAAATGAGGATACCAATAATATTTGTTGTGAGGATTAAGTAAGTTTTCTTAAAGCACTGTTTGGGTCATAGTAACTGTTCAGCAAAGGCTGATAATTACTATTGCAGTCATTGGCATCCAGTCCAGTACCTCCCGAACTCTGCTTTGCGTTCAGATCATGTAGGGATCTTGGTCACCTGCAGACTGGGCTTCAGGCCTAGCTCGGGAATCAGGGTTGCAGCTATGAAGACCTGGTAGCTATGAAGACCAGAAATCTGTTTTTCTTACAAGCATTGGGGATGCTGATACTTCTATTCCGAGGACCACATTTTGAGTAGCTGGACTCTAGGCCATTGCCCTGGATGGTTTATAAATTTATGTCGGTTTTGCTAGTGACAGTTATCCTGTTGGGAGTAATTTGGTAAGAAATATTCATAAGTATGTTTCCAAAGGTGCTAAAAGCCTGGGTTTTACGCATGTTGTTCTCTCCTAATATGGAAGTTATGAACCATTTGATGGAGAGTGGGTATCAATTCATGAGATACTCCCACCCCTATTGTCTCCTGGAGCAGATTGATAAGCAGGATGTGGGGCATCCTAGCACTTCCCTACCTGGGAAATGGTAAGAAAGGAATGTCCTCCTAACACTGTTAGACTTAGTATGATGGACAGAATGTTGTGATAGTACTTGAATTACTCTTTCTTTGTCATACATACCTGCTTGCATGAGATGCGACTGAAAATCTGTGACAGTATTTATAAACATCTTAGAAATGATGTAGCACAACATTTTACTGTAAGGTATGGGAACTGACATGTAAAAGAGAAAATAAAATGTTTGGCGTTTCATATAATTTTCAAGCAGTGCCAATTGTCTAGTAAGTAGAATGCTCATATGTGAATCTAAGGTAGCAAATTTGTTCTTCTATATTAATGTTTTAAAACATCAAGTTTATTTTCAACCTGTGGCTCTAATGATAGTTTCTTGGAAGAGTATTACAATCAGAACTAGTTTAATCAGAAAGAGTTTATCTATTGGGAAATGGTTTGAGCTTTTCAAAATCTTTTTCTCTTTAAGGAACTGCCTTACCGAAAGGAGATGGTGAGAGCTGATCTAATTAACAAAAAAGTTGGAATCAGGTATGCTCTGAAAACTTCGTTTATTTATTTACTGTCAGAGTGAATTCAAAAGCAAAGTACACACAAGACTTTAATTTTTTCTGAAAGAATGGTTGGACAGGGTTTCGATATCCTTCAGCGTAACTTAAGGAATGATAGGGCATTGGTTAGGGTGTCTGGTGTCTAATGGGACTCTCAAAGTGAGATTACCATTTCAGGTAGTAGGCATGTTTGGAAACAAAATGTAAACATGCTTTCAGTAATCCAGTGAAGTTTATAGTTTGCGCATTCCTATTTCAGAGAAACTCCAGAAAATCTTGCCAAGCTTCTGACCAGGATGTATTTAAAGTCCGAAGTCATAGGCGATGGGAATCAGATTGAGATTGAAATCCCTCCGACCAGAGCTGACATTATGCATGCCTGTGATATTGTAGAAGATGCAGCTATTGCTTATGGATATAACAACATTCAGATGACTCTCCCGAAAACATACACCATAGCTAATCAAGTAAGATTGCACCCTTAAATAAACACTCCTTATTGTTAGAAACTGATTATTGAATGCCAGGAAGGCTTCGAGAAAAACAGAGCATAGGAATTAAGCAGTATTTGGACATGCTCTGCTGTGAGAGGCATTCGCTATGGAAAGGATACAAAACAGATGCCCAGACGATTAGAGTGAGTCGCAAACCTGTGATGACGAGTTCTTTGAAGAAAGACAGGTTTTGGGTTTGGAGCCCTTGTTGAACCTCCGACTGGGAGATTCATTTTCTCCACTTGGGACTGCAGGCAGAAGCTGTGTGTGTGGGAGAGGTGGACGTGGGGGTTTGTGCCTCTGTACTGTAGAGGGGTGGAGATACATTAATAAGGGCAGATGGGCGGTGTCCTTTTTAATGACTTTTCTGTATGAATCTTTTTATTTTTTAAGATATTTTATTGAAGTGAAATAAAGTGAAAATAATTTTTTTCAGCTTCCACTTAATAAGCTTACGGAACTTCTCAGACATGACATGGCAGCGGCTGGATTCACTGAAGCACTTACTTTTGCTCTGGTAGGTCTTACCTGCTTTCTTGCTCAGCTGATTATTTACTTTGAATCTCTGAATTATTTGTTCTGTGATTCCTTATATGAATTTGTAAGATCTAGACTGCTAACATGTCCAGATTCTAGAAGAATAACTTTGTTACTTGAGGTGGTACTGTTTCTGGTAGAGGGATGTTGAAGCATTTCTTTTTTAGTCACAGAAAAACATGAAGATGTAGAAAAAAATACCATAAATGACAGATGAGAAGGTATTTTATAGTTTCATATAAGTATTGAGGGCTCACAATGAATTTCATAACCAAATTTATTAAGTTAGAATATTTGGTCTTAATTTGGTTGTGGTTGTGCCCACTAGATGCCGCCCTGGCTAAGACTTTGTGGACTGTTCCACATTAAACTTATTTCTTTGTCTTTGAACATGTTCACAAACATTTGCTTTGAGTTGAAAAGCTGACATAAAAGGCCTAAATCAGGAAATGAATTTTATTACAAAATCAGAAGGAAATCTCCCTCCCCCACCAGATTGACCATTTAAAAGGATAAAATGTGCATGCAATTTGTAGTTCCTTTTTTTCTCTTGCTGAACATTTCTGTGCTTCCTACATGCAGCTCTTGAATATTCAAGTAAGTTTCAGTTTAATGATCCAGGGCACACATGCACACGCACACACAGAAACACACACACGCACGCACAAGCTACTTCTTTCCTCATCTCTACCCCCATCTCAGCCTCAGCCCTGCACTTTAATCTTTTAGCTTTTTTTTTGTTTTTGTTGTTGTTGTTAGAGTTTCACTGTAGGTTGTGTGCACTCACCGCAGACACAGAGAGAGAAAGAGAGTGAGAAATCACCCCTAGGGTGGATGGCCATGCTGCAGTCCCTTCTCCTCCATTCTGCTTTTGGGATCTTGGGCGCACACGCACACATGCCTATCATGAATTTCAAGCTGCCAGGTCTGGGACTCAAACTGTGGTCTGCCATGTGGGAGTTCAGCACCCTACCACCACACCACCTGCTGACCCTCTTAGCATATTTTTAGAAGGCAGTAGTGGAAGTTTATTGCTAGTTCTTTGAGGGTTGGTAAGATGGTATGACCTCTCTCTTGTCATCTTTTCTAGCATTTATCAAGTTATTAACATCAGAAGAGACCCTACAGGTGTTCTAGTTCAACAACTTTTAAGTTTTCTGATTCAACAGCCATCCGTTGAGCAACATTTATTGAGCATCTGTTGTATTCCAGGAACTGTACCAGTGAGGAAGCCTGAGACTGAGAGAGAATGAGTGCCTAGCAAATGTACAGAGTTAGCAGGAGAATTATGACCAGCAACCTGGCCTATGGATGCTAAGGCAGTGTTTTTCCATTGTCTCATACTGTGTACAATAGGTTCGTAGGACTGTGTCATTGATTTGTATACCTATGTACCTTGATAGTCAAGAGCATCCATGATTTTATATAATAGGAAACAGAAGAAACAGCAGTGAAGGGCCGACAGGTGGCGTGGTAATTAAGGGCGCTGGACTCCTACATGGCTGACCACAGTTTGAGTCCTGGACCTGGAAGCTTGCTTTCTCACTTTTTCTCTTTCTCTCTCCCTCTGCCCTTCTCTGGTCAAATTAAAATAAATATTAAATAAATAAGTAAAGTTAAATAAAGTAATTCTAAGGAAAAAAACAGCAGTGAGTAATAGATTTTTTTAAAGTATCTAAGTGACATACTTTCTCATTTGAAAGGATTTGAACTTTACAGAACCATGTAGAGTAAACCATGATACTTTTACTACCCCTTCCCACTTCTTTTTTTTTAAGAGTTATTTTATTTAACTTTATTTCTTCTCATTATTATTATTTTCCAGTTTGATCTCACAGAGAGAGAGAAAGAGAAAGAAAGTGAGAAAGCAAGCCACCAGGTCCAGAACTTGAACCGCGGTTGGCCATGTGGGAGCCCAGCGCCTTCAACCGCCACACCACTTGCTGGCCCTCCCTTCCCACTTCTAATCCTATTTTTCTTCAGCACTAGCTGCTATTAGTATTTTGGCGTGCAATTTTCCTTCTCTGCTATATAGTAATGCCTTTTGGCTTTGTAGCTTTGTAACCCACGCATCTTTGGACGAACACGTGCTGGGAGTGGTTGCTCTGTGGGAAGGGTTTATCCTGTGCTGAGGGCTTTGCTTCCGGTTCTACTCAGTGTAGCCCCATCAGTAGATGTTCCTCTCTTCCACAGCACTTGTTTTAAGTAACTGTTACCTACCCAAAGTACAATTGCTCAACATCAGAAGAGCCAAATTCTGACCCATGAGTTTGTTAAGAAAGGCTTTGTTATGAGTGATGTCATCTAGGCGACAGCTAGGTTGGCTCAAAAGGCCGACTCCCTAGATGTGTTCAGGAATGGGCTTTTTTAGAAAAATACTATCTGCCTAAGTTTTCAGCAGGGTCCTTGTATGCAGATAAAGGATTGAAACTGTGCCATTCTGATTGGTCAGCTCAAGCAGCAGTCCCACCGATCCATTATGGAAACAGGTACCATTCTGTGGGGTACTTTGCTGCAGCCGACATCCATGCCCACTCCCTGCAGTTCAGGTCAGCTTAGGTCCTCAGCCTTCCCTGTGTCTGTTCCTAGTGCTGACTGGCTATATAATTAGTTTACTCTAAACGGCCAGTCACAGCCAGTCAGCAGCGGACCAGGAATTCCAGCCCAGGCTGTCTGCTTCCAAAGTCAGTGACTGAACTTCCACACCAGGGATGTTAGGAACAGTTTGTTCAGTTGTCCCAGGTCCCTACTTTCACATATTATTTATCATGGGGGGATGGGAGAAGTAGGGTACAGAGAGTTTCAGACTATAGTGGCAGTATCAACATTAAAACTTTACAAAGTTACACACTTTCTTTTTTTTAGTTTGCCAGAGGACACATGCATTCTCTAGAGAGAGAAGAGAGGGGAAAGCACCCCCTCTGTTGGGGCGTAGTTATGCTGCAATCCCTTCTCCATTTCTCCATTCTGTCAAGATCTTGTGCAGGCACACACATAAGTGCTTGGTGCGTTTTCAAGCTGCTAGAGCCAGGATTTGAGCTTGCGCAGTTCTAATTGGTCAGCTCAGTCAGCAGTCCTGTGTGGCTGCACATGTGGAATCCAGCTCCATTAACCACCAGGCCACACGGCCAGCCCTCAAATGACACATTTTATTACAGATCGACACTTCACTCAACAGAGACGGTCTATATTGTTAATGCAGTTTATACGAGAGTAATGGCCATTCTTTTTCTAAAACCCAGCCTTTGATTTCCCATGTATAAATAATTTACATTTCATTATTGTTTTTGCTGTAGTACATACTAATTATGGTGTTTTCTTTTAAATTGGTTCACTTTTTTAAGTTTTTTGCCATAGAGCTCATGTTTTCACCGAAGAGAGACAGAGACAGAGGGAAAGTGAGAAATCACACCCCAGTGGGAATGGCCACGCTGCAATCCCTTTTCCGCCATCCACCTCTTGGCATCTTGAGCATGCATGCACATGTGCCCAGTGTGATTTTCACACCAACAGGTTCAGAACTAGAACCATGGTCGGCCATGTGGGAGTCCAGTGCCTTAACTACCATGCTACCTGCTGGCCCTTAAATTGGTTCACATTTAAAATTTAATACCTACTTTAGCTTTATTAGAATGGCGTCCATGAAAATTATGGCTTTATTTACCTATATTTTTCCTAAGACATTAATATAAACACATAGATATTCATTTTTTAAAATCCTTCCTATGTACCAGTACTGTTCATTTTATTTTATTTTAAACAAAATATTTTTGAACTTTATTTATTTTACTTATGTATTTATTTTAATTTGACAGAAAGAGAGAGAGAGGAAAAGTGAGAAAGCAAGTCTCCAGGTCTGGGACTCGATCCACGGTTGGCCATGTGGGAGTCCAGCACCCTTAACCACCACGCTATCTGCTGACCTCTCATTTGATTTTAAACTGCTTCTTAACCATGCTGCTTTACACTTCTCTCTCATCGTTGGGATAAAACATGGTGCTCTCAGCTGTGTAGCTGCCTTACGGTGTGTCTGTAGAACCCTTTTATTTACAGACTGCTATTTCTGTTCAAGAGAGCATTGAAAAGTGTAAATTGCATTTCCTGATTAATCCATCATTAGTGTCTAAATCTTGTTATTAAAAACTCCTCCATGCTGTGGGGAAAATGCTTATCCGCAGTGTGCCTTCCTCCATCCTTTTCCTCCACGACCACAGCAGGTCAGGGATCACTTTTCTGCTGTGCCTGGGTGTGGCTTTCAGGATCTTTTCTAAGAGAGCAAAGCAGGAATCACTAGAATTGACATTGCCATGAAATGAATTCTTTTTACCATTTTGGTTATTTTACACCATTCTTTTTTTTTAATTTACTTATTATTTATTATTAAAAATTCGCTATATGTCATGTATGCTCACTAGAGAGACAGGGAAAGTGAGAAAGCAGGCTGCCAGGTCACCCACGTGGGAATGTAGCACCTTTACCGCCATGCCACCTGCTGGCCGCTTAACACCATTCTTTCTAAGTGAATTCAGGCCAGCTGGCCCTCAGAGACCATTTTATAGAATAGTCCACTGAGCAATATGCCTGACATTAGAAAGCAGTACAGTAATTCAGTGATACAGTGATTTCATGTTTTAAATTCTTTTTCAAACAGCATAAGTAGACATAATAATTGTTTATGTTTAGTAACAACTTGTTAATCAACATGATTACTGATAACGTGCATTATCTCATTTATTATTAGACTCAATTTCTCTAGCATTTTTATTTTCATAACTTCTGTGCATCCTGGTTTCTGTGAGTGACAGGCATCTTTCTCTTTCTGGAAGGAGAGCGCTTACTGTATTTGTTACAAGGAGTGTCACCAAGGTACACAGAAGTTAAGTGATACGGTAGAAGGAACATAGGGCAGAGTTTAGCCCACTTGAAGTCTCTTCTCAGTCCTACCATCCTGCCACAAATCAGTGTGGATATAGCAAGGGTTCCATGAGAGTGAAACAGAAAACCATAGGAGCACCAACAAGGGAGAGAGAATTCTAGACTGGAGTCATTAGGGATATTTTTATGAATGAGGTGGAGGGGATGTCACTTAAGTACAGCCTTGGGGAATGAAGCCCTTTGGGTTAAGGGACACTTCAGGTATAGCTGGGAAGAGTGTAAGGTTCAGGGAATGGGTCGGGAGTTGTAGGCAGTCAGACTGTCAATGTAAACAGGAAGTTAACTTAGGAAGAACCGAGCACAGCCTCTATCACTGTCTCCACTAAATTTACTTTAGCCTCATACCTTACATAGAATTCCTTGTAGGGGAACAGTTAACATTACATTGCATTGGCTGTGGGCCTGAAGCTGATATATGTTTATTCTCAGTGATTCATGTAGAGAGTATACATTCTATGAGACCATCACAAATGGACGGACAGCTTTATATATTCTTAATATTAAATGTAGTCATTGTTTTTTTGTATCAATCTGTTTTGTGTACACTTCCTAGTGTTCTCAAGAGGACATTGCTGATAAACTTGGTTTGGATATCTCTGCAACAAAGGCAGTCCACATAAGTAACCCGAAAACAGCGGAATTCCAGGTGAGAATTATAAATGGGTAAGATTTTGGTCAAAAATTATGAGTCAGTGCACGAGTTAGGAAAAGTCTCCTCAGGTATTTTACCTCAGATGGTGTGATTGCAGAATTGTTTTATAATCTCTTATCGAGTAAGTTTATTGTTGGTTCTTACATGCTTTGTTGAAAAATTTTTAAAACTTTAAAAAATAATCTTTTCCTGATTAACTTTATAGTTGGTACTTACTTGCTTTGTGCTGTCTGACCCAACCTTTCTTGTCTGAAATTTCCATTTCATACTTCTTTTTTGTTTTGGGGAGGGGGGATAGGTTTTTACTGTAGGGCACGTGCACTCTCCAGAGAGACAGCGAGAAATCATCCCCCAGGGGGATGGCCACACTGCAGTCCCTTCTCTATTCTCCTCTTGGGATCTTGGGCTTGCACGCACACGCGCTCGGCATGAGTTTAAGCTGCCGGGTCTGGGGCTCAAACCATGGTCGATTACATGGAAGTCTAAGTACAGAGCCATTATACCAACTGCTGGTCTGCATTCTTCATTTTTTATTAATTTGTAATAAATGAATCAAAATCTGTTACCAGTACCTCCATGGGGTGTTCACTTTGAAATTCAACATTACTTCAGCTCCTAACGGTGCTACTTGCATTGTTCATTGATCTTTTAAATTCACTGGCGGTTTCATGTGGAGGTTAAGAATATTTAAATGAGAATGATACTACTTTAATAGCAAATAGCAAATAGATTACATTATTGATTAGGATGTTACCATAAAAGGCATTTCAAGCCTATAATATCTTTACTTTTAGTAATTTTAATAGTCTTATTTACTTTATACTAATGAGCTTTTATTCTTGAATATGCAATTTTGTATTTTTTTAGAGAAAAAATTTTAGAGAAAATCAGATTTTAGAGAAAATCATGTCTTCTAGAATCAAGAGAAATCTTAGAATTGTAAAGATCTGCTTTTAAGAAAATTAATGGTATTATAAATAATGTCTGAACTCTTAATTTGAGAGAGTTCTGCTTTGTTTGGTTTTAATTTTTCCAGAGGGCACATACACCCATCAGAGAAAGACAAGACAGAAAGAAGAAAGCAACTCCCCCACGGGGCATGTAGCACCTTAACCGCAGTCCCTTCTCCATTTCCCCATCCCGTTGGGATTTGGGGCACACAAATACAGCTGTGTGGTGTGTTTCCCAAGCCATGAGGGCTGGGATTAGAACTACTCAGTCAGCATGTGGGATCTGGCTCCCTTAACTGGTATGCCATGAGACTAAGCCGTGAGATAGTTTACTTTTCACGTTTTTAAAAGTAAGTGGCAGGGGGAACCAGCAGTTAGCGTAATGGCTATGTCGCTGGACTCCCACGTAGTCGACCGTGGTTCGCGTCCCAGACCCGGTGGCTTAAAACTAATGCCGGGCGCGTGTGTGTGTGTGTCCAAGATCTCGAGAGGAGAATGGAGAAGGGATTGCAGTGTGGCCATCCCCCCTGGGGGGTGATTTCTTGTTTTCTGTCTCTCTGTCTCTCTCTGTCTGTCTGGCGAACGCATGCGCCCTATAGCAAAAATCTCTCAAAAAAAAAATAAATAAATAAAAAAGTCAGTAGCAGGATGGGGCCAGCAGTTAGCATAATGGCTATGTCGCTGAACCCCCATGTAGTCAACCGCGGTTCGAGTACTGGACCCGGTGGCTTATACTCACACCAGGCCTGTGTGCATGTGTGCCCAAGATCCTGAGACGAGAATGGAGGAGACGGGACTGCGGTGTGGCCATCCCCCCCTGGGGGGGCGACTTCTCACTTTTTGTCTCTCTGGTGAGTACATGCGCCTGTAGCAAAGACCTCTCAGCTGCTCCTGTGGCAAAGCCCTCTCAAAAAAAAAAAAAAAAGTAAGTGACTGGTGGGGACCAGCAGGTGGTATGATGTTTAAGGTGCTGGATTCCCAAATCACAACAGATAGATAGATAGATACAGAGAGAGATAGATGATAAATAAATAAATTTTAAAATGTATTTTTGCGGTAGTTCTTAAATTCTGAAAGTGCTGGGCCAGTGGCATGGTGGTTGAGCCAACTGGATCCCACACGACACAATTCAAGTCCTGGACATCGTAGCTTGAAAAAACACGCTGGGCACACGTGCATGCCCAAAATCTCAAAAGGAGGGAGAAATAGTGGAGAAGGATTGTGGCATGACCGTCCACCATGGAGCGTGCTTTCTCTCTCTTTCTCTGTCTCTCTCCAGCAATGCATGTACCCTCTGGCAGACTAAAAGAAAAAAGAAAGAAAGAAATTCTAAAAGTTCTAAAACTGTTTGATCCTGAATTTTACAAAAATTGAAAAGTATCTGGAGAGCTGCCTACTCCGTGGTGGTTTACAGCCAGACTAAAACACTGGTTGGTAACTGTATTTCAGCTCCATCAGTTATTACCTTCATTAGTGTCAGAACTTTGAAGAATCCTTACACTAATTTTGGAAGGCTCGTGAAAACGAATTGAGGCCCCTTTTCGGAGGACTAGCTTTTCTTCCTTTTTTTCTTTTTTTAAATTGTCAGAGGGCATACGTACTCCCCAGAGACTAAGTTTCAGAGAGAGAGAGAGAGAGAGAGAGAGAGAGGGAGAGATTGAGAGAAAGAGTGAAATCAGTGTGTCTTGGTCTTACTGCAGTCCTTCCTCCTCTATTTCTCTGACCTGTCAGGATTTGGGGCATATATTTTTCAAGCCACCCGGGCCTTGAGTTTGAACTGCTGTTGGCCACGTGGTATCCAGCTTCCTACACAAAAGGGTTATCCACTGTGCCGTGGGGCTGGCCCTTCTCTCTACCCCTTTTAAAAATGCCCCTAAAGTATTCTCTGTAATAAGAGGAATTCAAATTTATTTGCATAGAATGATTTTTCAGTAAATCTGAATTGATTTTTTATTATTCCAAATTGACCTTCTTCTCTCAATTCATTAATCAAGCTTGATAGATTTATTAGGTTTATATCCTGTTTTATCTGTTTTATATAACTGGAAAGAAAACAAATCAGACACATTAAGTGTTGCTGTAAATAGTTCTGGCTTAACACACTTCAGAATCAATATCTGCATAAAATACATTAGTGGTGAGAGGGATTGTCCTTTTTTTAGACTTGACAGAGTCTACATTATATTCCTGCCTTACCAGCAGATCTATTCTATCATTACTGAGGTAACTAATAGGTTTATATTAACTTCCACTTAAATTAAATGTAAAGTTGTTCGTGGGCTTATTACCCAGTTTGTCATGCAAGCCCATTTTCTTTTTTAAGAGAGGTTTTTGCTATAGGGCATGTGTGCTTGCTAGAGAGACAGAGAGAAAGTGAGAAATCCTCCCCCAGGAGGGATGGCCATGCTACAGTCTCTCCTCCATTCTTCTCTTGGGATTTTGGGAACGCAGCGTGCCTAGTATGAGTTTCACACCACGGGGTCTGGGACTCGAGCTGCAGTTGGCCATGTGGAAGTCCAGTGCCTTAATCACTAAGCCTCCTGTTGGCCCCATGCCCAAGCCCTTTCTTTTCCTGCATTAATCTTAACTTTGGACTCTTTTCTAGTATAGATATTTAAAGAAGGTTAAGATAAGAAAAATATTTAGCTAAACTATGTGAAGTTTAATCATAGTTATTATAAACAAAATTATAGAATATTGTCACACACCTCCAAATTAACAATTTTTATTGTATTTTCAAAAATGTAGTCACTGTCTAGTGTTCTCAGTCATCTCAGTTTTTCTAATAGTTTGATTTGGAATTCAAATGAGGTTTGTACATCGGAGTTGATTGATATGCTTCTGCAGTCTTTAATCTACAGGTTGCCCATCCATCTCTCTCTCTCTTTCAATTCGTTTATTTAAGAAATTAGGTCATTTGTCTTATAGAATTCCCACATTTACATTTGGTGAATATATGTCATTGGTCTCTTATGTTTTCAGTAAACTGGTAGTTAGATCTAGAAACTTGATCAAATGCAAATTAATTAAATTAATTTTATATTGCTGTAGTTTTTTAAATAAGCAGCTAAGGCTAATCTATAAAATAAGGTTGAAATAATTAAGAGTCACTACCTACAAAAGTCGCTTGTTTATATTTCAGTAAGTTAAACTTCCTTTTAACTTTTAACATTGTAGTCTTGTGTCTATGAATAGTTTGGGCTTTTTCCCTCTAACTGGGAAAGTGAGCAGCATTTAAGAGAGCACCAAGTTGAAGACTAATGACAGCCTGCCAGTAGAATACAGGTGATAGAAGAGAGGTTCTCTTTTTTTCTTCAACACACAATATATAGCATGTCCTGTTAGGGGCTTACTCTTGCTAGTGCAGGATGAGAAGGGACTGCTGTTTTAGCTACAACAGTCAGGGCGAGCCTCTGCAGGGAGGACTTGAGCAGAGCCTGAAGAAAGTGAGATAGCTACATTGAATCAATAGGAAGAATGTAGGAGGCAGAGGAAGAGCAAGTGCAGAAGGAAACCTGCTCAGCATCCAGTGTGGTTGGGCATTAGGAAGCCAAGGAGCCCCAGGGATGAGCTTGGAGATGGAACCAGGGCTCCTCAACATGTAGGGCACATCTAGGACAGGAGTTTTATTGAAATTTGACACAGGCTGGTACAGGCCTGGTGGCATAGCCAGGAGGGCACTGCTGCATTTGACTGAAGCCACGCAGGAGCCTTGCATTTAGTTCCTGATCTGACCTAAAGCAGGCCAGGTGTGGTGGGACCACGTGCAATCCCAGCTGAGTAGGAAGCTGGCACAGGTGGATCACTGCATGGCTAGACCTTATCAAAAATACCTCTATCGAAGGGACCAGAAGTTTGCGTAATGGCAAAGTCTCTGGACTCCCATGTAGTCGACTGTGGTTTGAGTCCTGGACCCAGTGGCTTAAACTCACGAGGCTGGGCGTGTGTGCGTGTGTGCCCAAGATTCCAAGAGGAGAATGGAAGAGAAGGGATTGCGGTGTGGCTATCTCCCCTGGGGGGTGATTTCTCGCTTTCTGTCTCTCTGTCTCGCTCTTTCTGGCGAGCACATGTACCCTGTAGCAAAAGCCTCTCAAAAAAAAAAAAACACACACAAAAAAACACAAAAAACGAACCTGTATTTCCCTTTCTCTCATTTAAAAAAATGAAGAAGAAAAAGAAAGAAAAATGATGGAAGCATGTTGAACTTAGTTTTTAAGTTTTATTTCTTTTTTCATGAGAAAGAGAAAGGGAGAGCCAGACAGGCATGCACACCTTAGACAGAGACTTGCCATGCCGTAATCCTCCTAGCTGGGGAGGATCACACATGCACGCAGGCAATCTCAGCATGCCCGGGGTGACCTGGGAGGCCTTTATGTGGCTTCAGTGCTGGCCTGTGCCACTACCACTGGTCTTGATTTTTGACGGGCGTGGGTGGGGAAGTTACATGATATGATTTATTCTTAAAGGAACACTGTGTGGAGAATAGACCATAAGGTGGTAAGAGTAGAGGAGAGAAACCTACCTAAGAAACATATGCAGGGCCAGCCAGTGGCAGAGTGATTAAGGCAGCTGGATCCCACATGGCTGATTATGCAGTTCAAGTCCCGGACCCAGCAGCTTGGAAAGCACACGGAGTATATTTGTGAATGTGTGTGCATGCTCACAGTTCCAGGAAGAGAATGGAGGAGAAGGATTGCAGTGTGGTCATTTCCTCTAGGGGGTGACTTCTCACTTTCCTTCTCTGTCTCTGTGAGCATACATACCCCACAGAAAACTAAAAACACAACAAAACTGCTTATGCAGTAACCTGGGCAAAAGAAAATGGTGTATGGGGTCTGACTACAGAGTCTGTACTCTAGTAATAAGGTCATGCCACTGTTCATGGAGGCCTTCAGTGACGTGATGTGTTGGATGCTAACATCTTAGCTTAAAGTGAGAAATCGACTTCACAGACAAAAGCAGCAGGGATGTTTTGCCTTTTTCTTTTTTAAGAACTGAAATGTGTATCTCTTATGAATAGAAGGAATGAAATAACTGTACATATTGCCTATTTACTTTGTTAATAAAAAGTGGAACTATAGTCACAGTTTTCTCAAAGCACCTAAACTTCGTGTGTGTGTGTGTGTGTGTGTGTGTGTGTGTGTGTGCGCGTGTGTGTGTGTGCTTACATGTTTGCTCTGTGTCCTAGTATTTTAATTGCATTTACATTCTCCCTGATCCTGGTTTTCAAAATTCCGATTAATTAATTTAAATATTTGTATTTCTTGTTACCTTCTTCATTACCTTGTGAAATGAGGCAGGATGTAAAAATTTACATATTTGAACTATTCAAAAACAACTAATTTGAAAAACAATAAGAGCAATCATATTCATTATAGTATTTGTTTTTCACGTATTTTTAATCAAATTAATCACTGTTTCATTTTGAAAATTTCAAGCCAGAATGTTTTCAAGTCCTTTTAGTTTAATTTCAGTGTTCTAGAATTGAAAATTTAAAATGACTTAGAGATTTTAAGGCATTGCTTTTCCAGAAATGTTCCCCTGTGAAGCCAGAGTCTTTGTGCTTTGTTTTGTTTGATTCCTGTTTGGTTGGTGCAGTTTCCTGTTTTTTCCTCTAGGTGGCACGCACTACCCTTCTTCCAGGCCTGTTAAAGACCATAGCAGCAAATAGGAAGATGCCCCTTCCTCTGAAACTGTTTGAAATCTCTGACATTGTAATAAAAGACTCTAGCAGAGGTAAGAATGCATCACCCTTGATTTGTATAGTTAGAACATTTATTTTTCATTGTGAAACTTTCAACCATGTATAAAAGTAGAGGGACTATGTATAAAAATAGAGGAACTAGTATACCCCTGCAAATGCAGTATCCAACCTCAACAGTTACCAGTATCCTGACAGGCTTCTGTCATCTGTACCCCTGCCAGCTTCTCCATATTATTTTACTGTAAATCCTAGACACTGTATCATCTCATCAGCAAACATTTCAGTACATATTTCTGAAAGATAAGCACTACTATTGAAAAAGTCATGATGCATTTTTGCATAGAAAAATATGTTACGACTTTTCTGATGACCCAATATTTTAGTCTTTTTTAAAAAAAAATATTTATTTTAATTTTATTTTATTATTATTTTCAATTTCCTATAGGGCACATATGCTCACCAGAGAGAGAGAGAGAAGGAGGGAATGTGAGAAAGCAATCCACTAGGTCTGGGACATGAACCTCAATCAGCCATGTGGGAGTCCAGCACCTCAACCACCATGCTACCTGCTGGCCCATGTTTTTTTTTTTGTTTTTTTTTTTTAAATAATTCAACACCATTATCATATCTTAATATCAAATGTCTACCTAGTGTTTAAATTTTCCAAATTGCTTTATAAACTTAATTTTTTTTTTCTTTTTTGGAGAGGTTTTTGCTATAGGGCGCGTGCGCTCGCTAGACAGACAGAGAGAGACAGAGAGATAGAAAGCGAGAAATCACCCCCCAGGGGGGATGGCCACGCCGCAATCCCTTCTCTTCCATTCTCCTCTCGGGATCTTGGGCACGCACACACACGTGCCCGGCATGAGTTTTAAGCCACCAGGTCCAGGACGCAAACCATGGTCGACTACGTGGGAATCCAGCAACATAGCCATTACGCTAACTGCTGGTCCCAAACTTAATTTTTTAAAAAGAATTATTTGTTTAATTTTACTTATTAGTATTCTTCAATTTGACCAGAGAGTGAGAGTGAGAAAGCAAACCACCAGATCTAGGACTCGAACTGCAGTTGGCCTGTGGGAATCCAGCGCCTTACCCACCATGCTACCTGCCAGCTTCTGTAAACTTAATTTTTAAGATTAATTTATTTGAATCAGAATCTAAGCAAGGTCCAGACATTTGGTTGCTCTTCCTCTCATTTCTTTGAATAATAGAAAGCACACTTAAACAAAAAATCTGATATTTATGAAGAGCCTTAGTAAACCCTTAACTTGAAAAATACTATGGTACCCTTTTTTTTTTGTGAGACCTATGCATATCATTTTAACATACTTGTTGCCTCATCGTCCTAGTTCAGCATGAGTCTTCACCATCACTGTGTACCAATGGCTGTGAAGTTTTCCCAGTTTTTATCTTTTTTGAATGTAGTCTGGACTTAGGAGCATAGCAGGTTGTTTGGCCCAACAATTGGAATGCTGTGGTTAATTTATGAATGCGTAATGATAAGTACCTAAGCCAGATTTCCAAGGATGTTGGTCTCATTTAAGTCTAGGCTGTACTGCTCTTTGTTCTGGCCCCTAGGTCTGTGCCTGGAGATGACTCCCCTGTTTAGAGAGAGAGAGCTATTCTTAGGCACTAGTGCTACAGGCCTCTTTTGTTTTAGATTTTTGCCATAAGGCATGGAGAGAGGGAAAGCGAGAAATCACTCCGTGAGAATGCCACCCTCCGTTCTCCTCCATTCTCCTGTTGGGATTTTGGGCACGTATGCATATATGCTTGGTGCATTTTTCAAGTCACTAGGTCTGGGACTTGAACCGCAGAGTCAGCCATGTGGGGTCCAGCACCTCTATGTCATCTACTGGCCTGTTACAAGCCGTCTTTTAACCAGTCAGTTAATCTAGATTACTTCAGAAACTTTGCCCATGTCTATTTTTAACTCACAGATTTGCATTTCTGCTGAACTCCCTTCCCCAGGAAGAATGGTTCACATCTCCGTGGCCGACCTCTCTCTTACCCATTTTGTGATTGTTGTGGTTGTTCTGCTTCGTTTGCCCCATTTATTCATTTCTATTTGATACTACTATGCTCATTGTCTTATACCATCATGATTTGTTCTTTTTATTTAAACTTTCTTAAATGCTAGTGGAACTTGAGAAATGAAGGCGATAAATGTGCTTGTAGGTCTACCATCTTGAAAACATAGGTTTGCTTTATTTTATTTGGAGTATGTGTTCCGTGTAGGTAGTCCTAGACTTTATTTCATGGTAAAACGGGCTTTTCTGATGAGTGTTCTGCATGAGAGCTCGGTAAGGGAGGCAGCACAGCGCCGTGATTTCATGGAGACCCAGGACAGCCAGGGCATGGGTTTGAGTCATGGTTCTGCTATTGTCTAGCTGCTTGACTTGGGACAAGGTACTTAATCTCCCTGTGGCTCAGATTCCTCATCCAGTGGGGCTAGAAATAGTACTTACTTCATTAGATATCTTTAGAGATTAAATGAAACTATATTTTGAAAAATTCTAGCCACATAAAAATCTATGTGGTATTTGTCCTTTTTCCTGTTTTTCTTTTTTGATTTTTCTTCTTTTTTTTTAAGAGATTTTTGCTATAGAGCACATGTGATTACTAGAGATACATAGATAGACAGAGAGAGAGAAAGTAAGAAATCACCCCTGGGGGGTTGGCCATGGTGCAGTCTCTTTTCTCCTCCCAGGATTTTGGGCATGCAGGCACACATGCCCAGTATGTTTCAAGTCACTAGGTCCAGGACTTGAACTGCAGTCAGCCACGTGGGAGTCCAGCTCTTAACCACTACTATGGCACCTGCTGGCCCCTGTCTTTTCTTTTTCTTTTTTTTTTTGTTGGAGAGGTTTTTGCTATAGGGCACATGCACTTGCCAGACAGAGAAAGAGAGACAGAGAGATGGAAAGCGAGAAATCACCCCCCAGGGGGGATGGTCACGCCGCAATCCCTTCTCCTCCATTCTCCTCTCGAGATCTTGGGCACGCACGCACACGCGCCCGGCGTGAGTTTTAAGCCACCGGGTCCGGCTCCTCTCGGGATCTTGGGCATGCACGCACACGCACCCGGAGTGAGTTTTAAGCCACCAGGTCTGGGGCGCGAACTGCGGTCGGCTACGTGGGAGTCCAGCGACATAGCCATTACGCTAATTGCTGGTCCCTCCTGTCTTTTATTTTAAAGACAGTGACTAGCTATGTTACAGTCCTCCTGTCTCAGGTGTGTGTCACCACATCCAACTCTTTTTTTTTTTTATTTTTTTATTTTAAGACAGAGTCTCAGTATGTTGCCCAGCCTTGCTCAAGGTCCTCCTGCCCCGGCTTCCCCAAGTCTCTGAGGTACAGGCACGTGCCACTGCTCCTAGCCCGTAGGTTGGACTGGGAATTTAGCTTGGGCCTCCTTTGGTCCTGGACTGTGGAGCACAGTGTCTTAGCTAGAATGTGTCCTAGCAGTAAGCAGCCCGCGCACCACGTCTGGCCCTTAGACGTGGTTTAGCGTTTGCTCTTAGTGTTTGCTCTTAGTGTTAGGGTACTGGCCTTGGTCCATAAGGATTGTCTACTAGATTGACTTGAAAACCTTAGCTAGTCACGAAAGGGTTACCATGGCCCTGCTCAGGCACTTGAGGCTGATTTTCATCCTAATCTTCAACTTAGTTGGTTTTTCTTCTCTTGTGCCCTATTTTTTTTTTTTTTTAGAATCAGAAAACCAAAACCTGCTAATATGGGAATTTACTTAGGAAAACAGCAGTGTGGTTTTTTGAGTAATTCATCCCATTTTTCAGTGACTTAACATGTGTTTTTACTATCTCCATCCGGCAGTCATTCCTCTGTTGGAGTTGCATTCGCCATTTCATCCTAAGTAATGATGCTTTATTCAGGAAAACAAAATTCCTTACTATATAGTTTATATCAAAAGCGAAAGATAGAGGAATTTTCTAGTTAGTATGAAAATTCCCAAATTTTCATCTTTGGGAGCAGCACCCAATTCCTGGTTCAAAGAATGATCCATACAGGTGCACTGAGCACCTGGTTGAAAGTATTTCTGTGGCCAGCCTGTGGCATAGTGGTTAGGGCGGCTGGATCTCACATGCCCAACTGCACATTTCATGTCTGGACCTGGCGGCTTGAGAAACACGTCAGGCTCATGTGCATGTGTGCCAGAATCCCGAAAGGAGAGAGAGCGAGGGGAAGAAATTGTGATATGACCATATGTCTCTCTCCGATGAGCACATGTACCCTCTGGCGAAAATTTAAAAATAAAAAAAAAAAAGAAAAGATGAGATGCTTTTCTTTGCTAGGACTGCATTGGAAAATAAGAAAAAGAGGTACTAGTCTTAAGGGAGACAGACTTGCGAGCAGATTCTCAGACGATGCTCAGAGAGAATGTGAAAAGTACCCCGCTAATGCAGAGAAGGGAGTGACAGTTCTAGGTGATACTAAAGAGAAACCTGACACTCTCAGCCTCACAGTGGTTCAGGGCCAGCAAGTATAGCTTCCCAAATGGAAATGAAAATAGAATCTATACCGAGATTATCTCACGGGCTTTCCTGTAAAAGTAGATGAAAAACTGTTAGCCTCTATTTTCCTTCTAGACTAGCCTTATTGGACAGTTTCTTAGTCTAAAATAGACTTTTTGACTGACCATCTATGTTGTGTGAGGCTGTCAGGCTGCCAGTTTAAAGACTAAGTTGGGCACACATTTCGAGCAGTCAGACTTCTCTAAATTAGGCATATTTGGGTTCTGGGAGGCCGAGCCAACCACTGCATTTATTGAGTCTTAAGATCTGAAGTTGCTGCAACATTTTAAAAAATTAGTCATGATTCAGGGACCGAGCTGATTTATCACTTTTCTTGGGCAAAGCGGTATGTGTTTTTGGAATGAGACGTTGAATGCAGCCTTTGCCGCGAGGCGAGTTTTTCAGCTTTGTAACAAGCAAGTTGGCAGAGGCAGCACTGAAGCCGCTGTGTCAGGCTGCTGTGTAGATATTGGTTGGTTTTAGTTGTGAAGACTTTTG